TATCCAGTAATATACTGATATGGACACCACAGGGCATAAGAAGACTGTAGTGACTGGAATATATGGAAGATAATGAAAATTGAGATCTTCAAGAGTCATACCTGTACTCTTGGCATCCGTGGGAAATGGATACCTGTATCCGCAGATGTCAAACCTGCGGATGTTCTCCTGCAGGTACCTGTGCAAACATCCGCGGGTGTTGACACTCGTGCGGAGCTTTACCCCTTGTCACCACCCCTGCCACTTGACCCCTCCTCCTCTGCTCTTGTCATCTTTATGCCCGCTATGTCTACCGGAGCTGCTCCGGACGCTGACGCGCGCATGGACACACTTAAGGTGAAACTAGACAACCTCACCAATATCCTCACCCATCTTGCTTCTTAGGCTTCCACTGCTGCACCACCTTTGGCGGCTCCCGAACCGACTTCGGCATCTCCGAATGCCCCCGACGCAGATGTGTTATTCATTACTGTTGCCTTTGCGCTTAATGGAGATCGCAAACACAGCCGCACTTTCCTATACGCGGTCAAGACCTACGCCCGGCTTGCCCCGGAGGCCTTCGTGGTCAACAGAGAGCCGAGCGAAGAAAAGGCTGTCCGCTACGCCATGTCCTATATGGCGGAGGGACCTGCTCAGCAGTGGGCAGAGCGTCATGGGAGCAAAACCCCTTTCCCCTTCCCTCGGTGGAGCCTATTCCTCTCCGAGTTCTGCCTTCGGTTTGTTGAGGAGAACGAGTAAGACCTTGCGCTCGCCAAGCTGGAGAGTGCGGGTTATTACATGGGAACACGGGACATCTACGGTTACACCAACGACTTCGAGGACCTAATGGACCTCGCTGGATTTGAAGACGTGTTGGTTAAGGTGACCAAGTACCGCCATGGACTTGACCCCCTGATCAACAACGGCATCACGTCTTCGAACAACCCCCCAGACCTCTGTGACTATCTGGGCTGGCGCACTCGGGCTTTCCGCCAATACGAAGCCTTGGTGCAGGTGAAGCTCATCAAAGGGACCACCCCGCGGACGCCTTCGGGGGCCCCGCGCGGTGCATTCCTTATCGCGGTTCGGCAACTCCGTTCCCCATCCGCCCGGTGGCCGCACCTGCGCCACCTGTGGCCCACGCCCCCGTCTCGGTACCTCTGGCTCCTGTCCCTATGGAGCTGGATCGTACTAGGGCTCGGGGTGCCCCTCGTCGAGCCTGCTTCAGATGTGGCGACCCCAACCACTTGGCTAGGGACTGTCCGCTCCCCGCTGACGTCCGCCACATGGACATCCTCGACGAGGTAATCCAGCAACTCAGTGACGAGATGCTCGCAGAGTTGGTCGCCCGCTACTCTGATACGGCTGCCCTAGCGGAGGCACATTCGGAGGCTCCGGTAGAGGATTTTCTCCCCCGCGACGAGTGACTGGTGTGCCCTCGTTTGCATCCATAAATTGTGTCACTTGTTTGTATGATGAATCAACTCCTTTGCCCTACAACGAGCCTGAAACAAAAGACGCACCCTCTACCCTCTCCGAAGCCCCGTTCGGATTCGCCGACTTGCCTGGGAGAAAAAGCTACCTGGCAGCTATACCATCTCCGCTTAGTCTAGTAGTTACCGCGCCCTGATGGTAGACGTCGCGGGTTATTATATAAGCTTCCCTTTTAGGAATCCACGTGAGCAGCGACGCGCTACGATTAAAGCGCGAACAACACCGTATCGACGCGTCAAATGAGTGTAAATCAGTAGGAATAGCTATACATGGTCTCAAAATCTACATTTTGTAGCCTCTATCACTATAAGCTGAATATTTTGAGCATTGTCACACGTTACCCAACAATCACCGCACTCCCACCACTCCCGCCTTGCCATGGCGCCTTCTCGAGGGCAGCGCTGGAACACCCTAGATGGGCATTCCAGAATCTAGTGCACACCCAGCGACGCGTCGAAACTCGCTCGATTGGCTCACAACGCGTTGATAGCATGTGGCTTGTTGTGTCAGGTGACTGATATTATCTAACAACTTTTGACAGCCTCACATCAACGCGGTAACCAACAGACCCTATTTTTTCGCAGGGAGTTTACGACCGGTTAACGGAACATTCGGGTCTGTAAAAGAGACAAATCTCCGCTGCACCTGGGGCTAACTCGCTCCACCTCCCTCTGGAACTTGAGTCCACTACAAACACGCTGAGCCGTAGTGGTAATATTTAGGCTAAAAAGCTCTAGGAATAACTAGAATAGCAGTAGCCTAGAAATCTAGATATTCCTAGTCCCTATGTTTTAGTAGTGTTAAAGCTCCGCACGAGTGTCAACACCCGCGGATGTTTGCACAGGTACCTGCAGGAAAACATCCGCAGGTTTGACATCCGCGGATACAGGTATCCGTTTCCCACGGATGCCAAGAGTACAGGTATGACTCTTGAAGATCTCAATTTTCATTATCTTCCATATATTCCAGTCACTACAGTCTTCTTATGCCCTGTGGTATCCATATCAGTATATCACTGGATACTATATCCTATATAAGCTCTTAATATTGTCAATATACCTCAGTATCCTAATATTTTATTCAAAATACCCGTGGATAACCCGTGCAGGTACCCGTATCTGTGAGTACAGGTACCCGTTTCCCACGGATGCTGCAAATGCAGGTATTGGTTTTGAAGCTTAAATTACCTGCAGGTAGAGTACAGGTATTTATCCGTGACACTCATGAGAAGCCTTAATACTGTAGTGTAATTACTATAATATTATTCTTTATTTATTTATTTTCTGCCTTTATATTGTCTTAATTTTGATGGGGATTGTGATCCTTAATATATATTATTGATGTGGAACGATTTTTGATGGCCATCAGTAGTTTTGATCACTGTGTCAATCTATATCATTTTGGTCCCAATTAGAATAATCCTGAACACAGGCCTTCCCCACTATATACCGGGTCATCGGCCTGAAGAAAAGGAGTTAGCATTACTATATATAGTATTTTTAGCATCAAATCTATCAATTTGATGTATTAATAACCCATTTCTAAAGTCTTTCTTGGCTGGGAAAAGTCTTCCTAGAGTTTTAGGCTACTGCTATTCTAGCTATTCCTAGACCCTAGGCTAAATCTTACACCTACGGGTGTCAATTTAGCTGGATCACCGCTTTTTGATAGGATTAAAAGTCCCCCAGAAATTAGAAAAATCAAGAAAAAATTATTGCCAGTGTTTCCCAAAATCTGACATGCCTAATTGATTAAAATAATACAGTATATTCTGTCAAACCCTGGGTTCAAGAAATCTTTTTCTTTGCCATTTAAACCTTTTATCCTGGCCCTGGTTGATAAGATAAGACAAGGAGGAGATAATATGGACGATAAGATGGTGATTGGATCATCAGATGTTGATGTTGATGTTGATTGACAGCGTGGAGTTGGACATGAGGCAGACAGCATGTAAAGGCATGGCTAAAGTATGATGTCATTGCCTCTCGTATTAGGCATGGTAAACACATGGTAGTAGTGTATATAAGTAGAGTAGATTTCGTCTTGTACCCCAGTCTTCGAATTCCATCATCTTTACGATATCTTTTCACGGTGCTTCTTGCTTGCCTTCACTAGCCAACTGGCATCCTCTGAATTGGTGTTGTTTGTGACATATTCAATTATATTCAAGCTTCACGAGCCTGTACATAGCTCACATAATCCATCTGTAAATTATCTCCCAACCACTGGTTATAACTGTTTGTATCACTGGTTTTGCAGTCATTGAGGCATGTACATTTGTCATCTGTAAGGGCAACCCCGGAGGCCTGGGATCAAGGTCTAGCCGGGGAGGATCCAAAGCGTGAACATTGATAAGCAAATACAAATGAAGCTGACCTAGCAGGGGAGGATCCAAAGAGAAGAAACTCTAAGGGTCCACCTGCTAGGGAGCTGACTATATACTACTTGTCCGTAGCTGCCGCTGTCAGGCACAGAAGGCCTGGGCGGCGTCGCAGGCAAGGTCCCAGGATGACCATTGGGTGGGTGTTGATGGATCGGTGATTGTGCGTGCAAGATGGAGGGGCCAGACCAGAATCGGAACCAGAATCAGAATGGTCTCTGAGGGGCCGAAAGGGAGGTTCCCCTGACATCATCATATGTTTGACACTGAAGAACAGCCTAACAGGGACTCTGTATAGAGATGCTTATTCAGCATTGGCCAGGATTGGTAACATGGCCTGAATTTTCTACAACAGTCTTTTAGTAAATATTAACTTAAACAAAACACTAGGCTCAATGTTCATTATACCTTCAACCAGCTGAGAGTGTCATCAAAGTCCAGGGCAACAATTTAAAGGTCGGCTTCAGCCTTTCTGTTGGGGCTGGATGCAGATGTTGTCCACCTGATTAACTGTCAAAAGCCATTAGCCTTGCAAAGACTGAGTCTGAAGATGTAGAGCTTGTTGGTGTATTTGAATATAATCAATTAGTATAATATATTATATTCATAATCACGGATATTCAGTGGGTCTGAATATGCCAAGGGCATAATATAATTATATTTACTTGTATATATTCAAAATATATTCTAGCATGATATAATTATGGACAGCACTAGTTGACACTGATGCTTCAGTATATGAGCAAGGCTCTAAGCGGACACTTTGTCACATTGGGTGCTTTGCACAAAGACAACAACCCAGAGCTGGATTTTTTAAAAGACATCAGATAGGAAATGGGCATCTAATTTCTAACAAATTGGCGCCACACATAAGGTTGGATTTACCAAATAAGGTATTTGGATGTGCTTTGCAATCAGGGCCGTCAAGCTATCTCCACGGATTTGCACCTCCATCTCTGCTGTAAAAGTCCAGCTTTGGGTGACTGTTTTTTGTCGTAAAATCCTCTGGGTGAATTTTGTGTGATAGTGAGCAGATCGTGATAATGGGGGTGCACTGTGCCATAGGTAGGCCAAGTGCCAGTGTGAGCGAAAGAATCGGCCCGGATCACATCTGCTTTGGGACGAGTTATGGAGCGACTCGGATATCATGATCGTGATCTGCCATCTTGGCTTCGACGGTCGACCATCGAAGCGCGCGCGCTGTTCGCGTCCCCGTTGGCCGCCTATATCGATGAATCATCGAAGGCTATTTGCGTGAAGCTTGTTCCGCGCTATTCTTAGCGGCCAGTGGCCACTCGGGATGCGATCTCTTCCATGAACGACGACGACGACGAGCGCGCGCCTCTGCTCCCTCCTCCCCCTCCTCTCTCGCATCCGCTGTGGCTCGTCGCCCCGCTGGCTGTGCTGTGCCGCGTGGCGGTGTGCTCAAGGGCCTTGTGTGTGGGTGGCACTACGACTCGGACGCGATCGACACGCCTGGGCCCGAGTCGTGCGCGGTGCCCGAGGTGGAGGCGCGCTTCGCACGGTTCTTGTCGCTGGTCGCGGTGCTCGACGGGCTCGGCGGTGTGTTCCCCCTCCGTCCGCCCTTATAATAAATAATTATATTTTATAGGCCTCGCGGGGACGGCCCTGCTGACGCTGCTCGCCGCCTCCCGGGGCCGCCGGCCCGCGCTCGCCTTCGTCGTCCTCTCCGGCCTGCTCACCGACGCCCTCGCGCTGGTCACGCTCCGCACGCGCACCCTCCCGGCGACGCTCGCGTGGCTGTGCGTCGCGACGCTGTCGCAGCCGACGCACGCCGCCTTCGCCGCGACGCTCGTGCTCGTCGACGTCGTTGACGCTGAGACGCGCACCGCGGCGCTGAGCGCCCTGGCCGGCTGGGGCGCGCTCGCAGGCGTCCTCGCGTTCCCCGCGGGCGGCGCGCTCACGACGCACGTGGCCGCCGGCCGGCCCGGCGCGGTGTACGTCGTCGCGGCGGGGCTGTGGGTTAGTGCGGCGGCGTACGTGTGGGCGCGCGTGCCGGAGACGCGCCGCGGGCCGGGCGGGGAGCAGGAACAGCGCCGGGGGGTGATGGAGCGCGTGCGCGCGATGGGCGGGCTGCTCGGGCGGCGGAGCCGGGTGGGGTGGCTCGCGGCGCACGCGCTGCTCGCGGGGACGGGCCTGGGCTACGCGCTGCCCGCGGCGCTGACGCTGCTGACGGCGCGCGACGGGTACGCGCCGGCGGACACGGGCCGAGTGCTCGGCGTGCTCGGCGGCGTGCAGGCGCTGGTGCTCGCGGTGGGCGTGCCGTGGCTGAGCGGGCGGCTGGGCGGGAGCGAGGTGGCGCTGGCGCTGGGGTCGTATGCGGTGGAGTGTGCGGCGTGGCTCGGGTTTGCGGCGGCAAGGGGGCGGGCGGGGCAGATGGGCGGTGCGTGTGTTGTTTTGCGGGGAGGATGAGTTGCTGAACTGGTGGTGCAGCGATTGTGGTGGCGGGCCTCGGCGCGGGACACGGGCCGACTGTCCGGAGCATCGTCGCCGCGAGCGTAGCGCCCGCGCAACAAGGTCCGTCACCCTCTCCCACCGATTGCCTACTGACCGACCGGCAGGCGAGGCGCTCGGCGTGTTCGAGAGCGCGTGGAGCCTCGGGCTGCTCCTCGCGCCGCTCGTCATGGGCACCATTCTTGCGCGGTGTGTCTTCCGCGTCTTCCTTTCCCTTCCCCCGAGCACTGAACGGCTGTAGGACGATCGGGACGCGCCCCGGGACGGTCTTCTACGTGCAGGCGGTGCGTCCTCCTCGCCTTCCCTGGCGCTACTTTGGGACGCTGATGTGGACTGTGGACAGGCCGTTGTGGCGGTCGCCGGCGCCGTGCTCCTCGTCGGGACGCGCACTCGGCGCCGGGCGCAGGTGGAGCTGCAGGAGGACTCAGCCGACGAGTGAACACGAGTCCGCGCTATGAGGTTGATTAGAAAACAGGGACTTGTTTGTTAGGTTATAGAGAATGTTTAGACGGGGTATGTCTTGGTCACGGGCTGTCGGCCACTCAGAATTCAGCTGCAACAAAACGCCGGCCCAGAGCCGCCATCAATCAGCGGCGTGTCAGCCACACGGGTAACACGTGTCACCACACCCGCTGCCCAGGCCCCACCCTGTACCTGGACAACCTTCAAAAGCGCGACTGCCAGTGTCGACGACAAACCGCAGACCACCAGCAGACTCAGCACGCACCCATGTACAAGGAACCTGTGTACCAGCAATCTTTGTGAGTGTCGTGTCTTCTTAAAAATACTAAGTATAGCAACTATTACCCCATAGCCCCGTTGGCCACCACTTCCTACGCTCCAAGCGCGCAACAGAGCTCGGGTGGACCTTCTTCCTGTTCCACTTCTATGATTATCCAGCGATATCTCTGACTGGCGGTGAGTGAGCTCTATAAAATTTCCGGAATATGCAAAACCAACCCTACCCAGGCTGGAATCTAGACATCCATCACGGCATGACCGCAAAGAAGTTCTACCGCTGGATGGACATCATCATCATGGCCCGTGGCGATGAGCACACCTTCGAGCTGCGGCCGATCAAAGTCCAGCTATTTGACATCGCACGTTACGGCTACGACCACGCGGCAGGGGACCCCGTTCCACGCCACGCGGATATCGTCCTCCAATCGGGTGTTTATGGGCCATTTTATCCATCCGGTGCATAATTCTTTGGTTTTTTTCCCTCAGTGTAGTTGCATAGTGCTGATTCTTTCTTAGATGAGACAGAGTCCGACAAGCCCGAGCCATACAAGGGATTCGTTGGCACCGACTGTCCTCGACTGTTATCTTATACACAGCTTTTCAAGAAAATGGACAGGCATGTGAATCCAGAGACATGTGCGAGCAAGGAGGTGATTGTCCTCTCTTGGTCCTCTCTCTCTCACCATGGCTGGTCTCTGAGTCTTGTCCAGAATCAAACACTGATGACTGAGCATATCAAGAACCACGTCAGGACCCGTGATGGGGGCAGATGCTTCTTCACTGGGAGAACTGATCTACCAACAAAGCTGATCTGGATCATCCCACCGCGCCTGGCATTGTCCCTATTTGAAGGCGATGTGAGTATGGTGATCGCCTATCAGCTTTGCTGCTTATCGTGCACAGAGACTGGAAGCATATGAGCAGAGCAACTATGAGGTCGCAGATAATGTGATCACGATTGACGAGGCCCTTGTGGAGTCATTCAATCGCAATGCATTCAGTATTGATTTTCAGGCAGGGTCAGTCTAATTGGGACTATCAGAATGTTAATTGTTGTGCAGGACAACAACCACATTACCATCTTTGGTGACCTTCCAGATGATTTCCATGCCAAGATATCGACCCTTATGCTAGTGGCCATCCCAGCATACTCCGAGAAGTTTTGGCACGAGAATTTTGAATGGGCGTTGAAGGCAAATTTCCTGGGGGGTGACATTGGGTGGGAGCATCCCATCCCTGTCAGGAACAACCTCCGGGAGAGGCTCGTGCGGGAGAACGGGTTCAAGCTTCCAGAATGGAATATCCAGGGCACACTGGAGCATGAGGTTCTTGAAGTTTATTATCTCCACAAGAGCATGTGGAAGAGCAAGGAGCCACCAAATGAGGGATAAAGCTTAGAATCACTGCCAGTTTATATCCCTTATACAAGTCAAATGTGTTAGTGCTACATACTTTCTTATACAAGGTCAAATGTTCACAAATATCAGTGTAAGTGTAAGGGCAACCCCGGAGGCCCGAGATCAAGGTCTAGCAGGGGAGGATCCAAAGTGTGAACATTTGTAACTTGAAGCAAATACAAATGAAGCTGACCTAGTAGGGGAGGATCCAAAGAGAAAAAACTCTAAGCCTTAGAGTTTCTGTCTAAGGGTCTGCCTGCTAGGGAGCTGACTATATACTGCTTGTCCGTCGCTGTCGCTGGGCGGCGCAGAAGACCTGGGCGGTGTCGCAGGCAAGGTCCCAGGGCGACTGTTGGGAGGGCGTTGACAGATCGGTGATTGTGTGCGCGAGATGGAGGGCCGGACCAGAGTCAGAACCAGAATCGGACTGGAATCGGAGGCGTCTCCAAGGGGTCAAAAGGGCCGAAAGGGAGGTTCCCCTGACAGTAAGGGCAACCCAGAGGCTCTGACAAAAGCCTAGCAGGGGAGGATCCAAAGCATAAATATATGGAGGGACTGACCTAGCAAGGGAGGATCCAAAGAGAAGAAACTCTAAGGGTCCACCGGGTGCCATCTATATACTAGTTGTCCATAACTGCCGATGTAGAGTGCAGAAGGCCCCTGAGCAGGTTTGCAGGCTCTGTTCCAAGGTGAACATTGGGAGGGTCTTGATGGATCACTGATCAGTGATTGTGGAGGCAAAGGAGGCTGTGGGCAATGGTCGGGATAGGTCGGAGCATCTCAGGGGGCCCTGGTCAAATGTGTCTCGGATGGGCTCGGACGGTCCAAGAGAGGGCGGGGGTTCCCCTGACAGTATGATATTCTTGCTTCTTTGATGTTGCAGACACGTTTGGATCCAGGGCCAAAGATGGTGACAGCTTCAAGCATGTGAACGTGGAAGAGCTCTGGTATAACTATTTAGTTGTCATTATTGCCGAACCTAAGGTTTGGCTCTATAGAATCATGTTGAAACCAGCCCCCCCATATCGGGAATGGCTGTGCCATTCTATAACCTTTTTGGGACAAGCCACGTCATATCACGTGGTGCTCTTCGGCTCTTCCGAAAGGTTCGGCACCTGCCGCTTGCGGCCTTATCCCTCCTCATAGATTACTTAATGAAAGTTGTCCATATAGACAAAGTATACAACTTTGATTTTGTGACAATCTGTGACATTTTCGGATGATTATACTGTCAAAGGGTAAAAATTTCCTTATTTGGAAATCTGTCAGGTCATCACAGGTCTTATGACTAGTGTAAGCAACTATAGGTGGAAATTTCCTATTGGGGACCATGTGTCACACAGGTCACATAGCTATATATCACAGAGCACTTGTACTGTTCCTAGAATTATTGACAATTATCTATGTACAGCATGTAGCAACTGACAACTTGCACCAGATATAACTTGTAGGCTCTCTGAGGTCTTAGTACTTGTATTTATTCATACCTCTCCTCAATAATTATTCATTTATATGGGAACCGAAAAAATTCACTGTGGCTTATCAGTGTTATTCTAGCAGGTTGTCACTGATAATTCTCAGTATCTGGTGGGCTAAACAGATGAACGTTCGAGCGTGCACGATGTTGCCCAGCAGTTTCGTTGGCAACAGGAACAGGGGCTCCACCTATCGCCACTAGCACATCATTAGCGGTCGCTGCAGCCGCTGCTTTGTTGGCAACACAGTTTGCGCTGCTTTGAAAAATGTTGTAGTTTGGCAGCGGAGAGATCTATTTGCTGTTGAGGCTGGCTCTGCGCTGGGTGCCTGCAAAGAATGGGAGGTGTTGGGGGCTGTCAACGCCAGAGCCAAGGCAGTAGCATCCACCCCCACACCAGACTCCACTGAAGTCTGACCTGGAGTAATGAAGACGCTAGTGTGCGGCTCAGCCACACCTGCACCTGGACTTTTAAACCATTAACACCGCTAATTATGACCCAATTCTAGGCAGAACTGACCCCTCATTGCGCCCATTCTCGATAGCAGTAGCTCCATCGACCCTGGGAATATCAGGGAGAAGGAAAGGTGGTGCCTCTGCAGACGCTTGGAGGTCATAGTCTGCCAGGAACTGGATGAGGTTTTGATTCAAAGTGGCCATTGGGATGCGGTCGCAGGTAAAAATATTTGGCCTTGCTCAGTGCTTTTATCGTGCTTATGCAAAAACCCTAGCTCCAATTTTTTTTTTTTTTTTTTTTTTTGTCTCTATTGCCCTGCTCTGCCTATCTCTTAGGCAGGGTGGAACATGTCTTAGCTGGGCCGTCGCCACTGTCTCGCGAGTGGGCATGGCCACCTGACCAGCATTTTCTCCTAGACCATATGCCCTTGTCATCGGTGTCTCCAGCGGACTCATATGCGTCTATGGAGCTCGTGGGTTACACCCACCAAACCCTTTATCGTGGTCTTGTTAGCGAAACGCGTAGTCAGAGATAATTGATAATTGATAGACGTAGCGTAGAGTGTACGATTTGGCGTTATCAATTGATAATGTGTTTAGGGTTCAGTTCAGTTCGTGCGACGACACCCAAATATCAAACAATACTCCAAGTCAGTTGATTGAGTCTTCTCTTAGAATAAGAGAAGATGAGATAACAAAAACAGTAAAGTTACTGGAAAAGAAAATAGAAATGGTAATCTTGGTATAACCTCAGATTCAAGGCTTTCTCCGTATAACCTCAGAGTAAGGCCTCTGTTTAACCCCACAGTCCAGGCTTCTCTGTATAACCTCAGAGCAAGGCTTCTGTTAACCTACAGAGTAAAGGGTTCTCCGTATAACCTCAGATAAAGGCTTCTGTATACTCACAGAGTAAGGGGATCTCCGTATAACCTCGGATTAAGGCTTCTGTAATAACCACAGAGTAAGGTGTAGTGAATGAGACAGTGTCAATTCAGGTAGTATCTGATACAAAAGAGGATGTGTAACTACTAGGGAAGTGAGCTGTATTTATACCTTTGGGCAGAGTTATGCTGAGTCATCATGAGTCAGTATGACTCTCCAAAGTTTGAATTGTTTGTTCAATTGTTCTGAATTGCACAGTCAATGCACAGTCAAGAACAATTGAAATGAGTCATTCCAAGTCAAAAGTTTATTACTAAACTCTATTGTTCCTGTATGCACAGTCAAATGCACAGTTTGCACAGTCAATGCACAGTCAATGCACAGTTTGCACAGTAAAGCACAGTTGATGCACAGTATGCACAGTTGATGCACAGTTGATGCACAGTATGCACAGTTATGCACAGTCAATGTACAGTCAATGCACAGTCATGCACAGTTGATGCACAGTCAGAAACAATTATGGTGAGTCATTCTAAGTCAGATGTTAGAATGAATCACAAAAAGACTTCTTGTTCTGGATTGCAGAGTCAATAACACTTTGATCACAGCATGTTCAATGCATTTCGGAAAATTGATAGGATTAATGATGTGATCAAAGTGATACAAACAATAAATAAGCACTTTTTCCCAAAAAGGAAATATTTAAGTATATTGAGGCTCCAATATAAATAGATTCCATCACAGGTCTGCCCCCCTCCGAGTCTGCCGTTTCATCTGGGCTTGGTGATAGGCTCCCAATAGAATTTTTCACTACTCTGAGTTGCTTCTTGTACAGTGGTCCTCAATTACTGCTGCCTCTGGACACAAGTGTACTTGTATATAGTATTATATCCATTCTAACTCATCTCACACTCTCGTGTTTGCGAGAGAGCCATTATTGGCTCATCGAATTTTATCGATGGTGGTGGTTAGGGGAAGAGAATTCTGTCTAATACTGTCACATTTTATTCAATTCAAATGCCAAAAGTAGTGTGCCATTTAATACAGAAATATGAGTTCAAATTGTTTTATAATTGGGAAGTTCTTGGAACCAGAGGTGCCTAAATATATATATATATAAAATGCCTTTTGGGGAGAGGATTTTGAGCAAAATGGTGTGACATGTGAAAAAAATTGAATCTACACTTGATTGGAATAATACAGTATGTTATTATCTCCATTCTTGCTGTGTCACACATATTTTCAAACATTTGACCTTCTACAAAGGCAGTAGATGGCACTAACATATTTGGCTTGTCTTCTATAAGAGATACTGGCAGTGATTCTAAGCTTTATTTATCATTTGGTGGTGCCTTGCTTTGCCACATGCTCTTGTGAAGATAATAAACTTCAAGGACCTCATGCTCCAATGTGCCTTGAATATTCCATTCTGGAAGCTTGAACCCATCCTCTTGCACAAGTCTCTTTCTGAGATTGTTCCTGGTAGGGATGGAATGCTCGAATCCAATATCACCTCCTAAGAAATTTGCCTGCAAGGTCCATTCAAAATTCTCATGCCAAAACTTCTCGGTGTGTGCTGGGATGGCCACTGGTGTAAGAGTAGATATCTTGGCATGCAAATCATCTGGAAGTTCTCCAAAGATAGTAATGTGGTTATTATTCTGCATGACAATCAATAGCCTGATAATGTCAATCAAACCCAGCTTGCCTGAAAGTCAATGCTGAATGCATTGCAATTGAATGGCTCAACAAGGGTTTCATCGATTGTGATCACATTGTCTGCCACCTCATAGTCACTCTGCTCATATGCTGCCAGTCTCTGTATATGATAAGCAGTGAAACTGTTGTGTAATCATACTCACATCACCCTCAAATAGGGTCAAGGCCAGGCGTGGTGGGATAATCCAGATCAGTTTTGTTGGTAAATCAGTTCTCCCAGTAAAGAAACATTTCCCCTTATCACGATTTCTAACTTCATCCTTGATGTGCACAGTCATCATTGTTTCATTCTGCACAAGACCAAGATTAGCTTTCATATCTGTTGAAAAATAATATAATCACCTCCTTGCTAGCACATGTCTCTGGATTCACATGGATGTCCAATGTATTGAAAGACTGAGTAAAAGATAACATTCCAGGGCACTCAGTGCCAATAAATCCCTTATATGGCTCTGGCTTGTCAGACTCTTTCTTATCTGGTGAAAATCAGTTATATTAGACAATTAAGCTGAAACAAGGGCAAAGAAGCATTTACTGAATGGAAAAAACGGCCCGTAAACACCAGATTGAAGGATGATATCCGAGTCTCGGGGGATAGGGTCTCCTGCCTCATAATCATAGCCATAAGATGCAATGTCAAATAACTGGATTTTGATAGGTCGAAGCTCAAAGGTATGCTCATAGTCACGGGCTATGATGATATCCATCCAGCGATAGAATGTCCTTGCTGTCATGCCTGGATGAAGATCTAGATTCCAGCCTGGTTACAATTAGTTTCACATAGCATATTCTGAAAATTTCAAGCTCACTCACCACCAGTCATAGTTATTGCTGGATAATCATAGAAGTTGAAGAGGAAAAAGCTCCATCCGAGCTCTGTTGCCCTCGTGGAGCGTAGGAAATGGTGGCCAACAGGGCTGTAGTTGAGGTAATCAGCAAGCAGTTCCAAGTTGGCTTTCCTCTTGGTGCCAGATGTAGAGTCGATGTCTACATGTACGACCGAACAAGCTTCAGCCCGAGAAAACACAGTACTCACAAAGATTGCTCATACACAGGTTCCTTATACACAGACATTGGGCCCGGGGGTATGCTGCCAGTGCCAGTGTTAACGTTCTGCTGTTGGTCTCCGACCCTAGCAGTTGCGCTTTTAAATGTTATCGACATCACAGGATGTGTGTGGTGTGGCGCTGGCCACACGGGTAAGCGCTGGCCACACGTGTTACCCGTGTGTAATAAGCCGCTGATTGATGATGTCTGTCGGTCATTCCGTGTTTTGCTGAATTTAGTTTTTGATGACCTTAGAGTGACCAACGGTATATTTCGGTCAAGGCTCCGTTAAATTAAGGCGGCCAGTGCCAGCCACTGTGACACGGCGTCCTAACTTGAAGGAACTCCACATTCATTTTGTTTCCAAGTTTGTCATATAATATGAAAATTATGCAAAACACCGACTCGGAATGTGCGGTCGTGGCCAAAAAATTTCCTGCTGTGGCCACTGGTAGGCTCTGATGGGTTGTAATATTAATACTTGCTGCCGTATAAATACTAGCGGTCCTCGTACAACACTAATTGCCACTGGAAAACCACCCTGCTGGGTCCAAGCCCTCAGAAATCATCAATACAAACACTAGCCTCTAACTACTGCTCTCACCAACCTTGACCTCCCAAATGTTCCGCCTGAAGACAGCTTTTACGATTAATACGGGTGGTGAACACTATAAAAATCGTGACCAACGTGATGTGCATATCTGGGCTTCTGCCCTGGGCAGAGATCAGCAAGTGCACCTCATCGGGGGTGAGGACAACGCTAAACCAAGTGTGCATTATCAAGCTTATGCTCTAGGTTGCTATTCGTTCCATGATCACGAAGAGGTCCAACACCGCCAAACAAATAACGACGTTTATCTCTTTCTCAAGCACATGATCCGTTTTGAAGCTCTCAAGCCCCCCAAGGGCCAGAAATGGCCTGGAAACCAAGCAAGTGCTATTGACCAACGTGCTGTTTGATAGTTTCGATACAATTGCTAATGCTGATGTGACTGTGTGTAGATTTGACCTATGTTCTGGTCAAGTGCGAGACCGATATTCTCCAGGAACTGGATAATTGCATCAAGAGCCGGACGGACATACCAAGTCATTTTCAGAAACTTTCCAAGACCACTCTGCGGGAGTCTGCGACGCATATAGTTGGTCGCGATGACGAACCACTCATGCCAGGGCATTACATGCTTTTCCAAAGAATGAACCCCCACGGACAAGCAGCGAACCCGAGACTCCAACCTTGGTTCCCGGAACTCCATAAACTCATCATTGTGTCGCGTGAGGGTACAGATGAAGCAACTAAAGGGACACGAGTGAGTGTCCAAATGCCAATTGTCAACGAAGATATACAGATGTGTATTGCTATAGCGCGATGGATTGCGTGACGAAGTGCGGATCCGAGATATGATTTGTCGTGTAATCGGCGACTTGATTAGAACTAGGAATCGAGGTGACAACTTCAAAGGCTTTCATGCTGCACATATTCTTGCCGTTCTCTGGGTCCTGAAAGTAGGTCTTAATCAAGCCGCTTGCGACAAGGATAATAAATCGACACACAGGTACTGGAGCTACTTGCAATCGACAATGTACCGGAAGCGTTGATTAAAGAGTTCTTTGGTGAAGACCTCAAGGATGACCCAAACCTCAATGCTTTGCTGATGCGGTCTGACTTGCATGATCGCTTCGACGATTATCAGTTTGGGTTTTGTCCAATCGAAGCCGGTGGTAGACAAGACACTCCCGTGAGTGAAGACGGGAAACCGGAGGTCGAGGTTGACTTGTGGGGATATCGATTCGAAAAAGATGGCGCCCCGGGTCTTCCACCTCGCTTTCCTCTGTACAAGTCTCAGGGTACATCCAAGAAGCTTCGCGGCAATGACGATCCGGAAAGGCAGGCGCGGAAGTCCACATTGTTCAAAGCATTACTCAGAGCCCACTTTCGGACTTGCGTTCTGTGGCACGTAGCCGGTTTCGGATGGGACAAGTAAGTTGGTGGAGAAAGCTGCAGTTGTTGGGAGCCGGTCAACGAATATAGAATCTTTAGAGAATTGTACTGTGAACGAAACAATCATTTGTTATGAGTTGCCAGCGAAAAAATTTCAATCTCCAAGCATTATCGTTTGTTTTCGTCGCCCCGCGCTTTCAAGAGCTTGAAGGCACCCCCCCGGCCGTGGCTTCGGGAGCAAAAGGTGACCCGGGGCTGAAAAAAGTCAACACGGGCAAGAACATGCAGACAGGAACGTCATACTTTTCCATTCACGAGGTCTGATAGCAGTCGCGTTGGCGTACAAGAGACGATAAGGAATTACGAGGACACACCTCCAGTTTCGCCGAGCGTCGATATCGTCCTCACATTGTCGTCGTCCACGGTCAGCGAGCCTTGCCGAATTTGAACGTTGAGGTCGCAAGTTAGAACAACTCCCTGATTATATATTCGTAGCGTGAGTCTCTGTGGGAGGCGAGAAAATATTGGACAGCTCACAGGATGGCTGAGGAAAGTGGTGGTTGTCGCAGACAATGTCGTCGTCACGGTTGGTCGGAGTTTCGTCGTCCGTTTGGCGAGACCACAGACTTGAAGTTTAAGCATGTCCCCGAGCCAGTGTTTATACACAGGGGAAAGAGACGCTGAAAAGTCCAGTCTTGCTGCTTCAAGCGGTGAGTTGTGACGGCTGCTCCTCGCTCGCGATGCTGACCTTGTTACAGCGCTCCACGGGCTGACCAGCGGTGACCCCGCACACGTTTGCTTCCATCCTCCGCAGAATCTGCGCGCGTTAACCTTGCTCCCTTGCCGCGAATGACAAGTCTGCGGCAAACTCAGCCCCGGCTCGTTTCCCACTTGCTCGACAGCTTCAAAATGGTGGGTTTAACATTGGGCCAGTGGTTTCCGCTCACTTACCTCGTTCCAGGGCCACGCATTCCTTCTTCCCGCCGATCCTGCACGTCGCCCTCCCGCATCAAATCCATGCCGTCCAGATTCCCAGTTATTGGTGAGTAGTCGTCAGTCTTGTCGTTTTGACCTTGGTCCTAGTTTTCTTGGTTTCAGTTCGTTGGCTCCTCGGTCTGGCCGAGTTTTACTTGCTTACCTGGTCCCAGGACCGCCATTTCCTTCACGCCAGTCCCACCAGACCACCAAGCCATTCCCAGCACCCTTCAAATCTGCTGCGCCGCCTTGGTTACTTTTAGGCACGTCAGCTCGCCGTTGCTCAGACATTTTCCTCGTAAGCAGTCTGGTGGTTGTCGCCGCTTTAGCTGACCCAGCTCCTTCTACAGCGTCCACTTCAGCCGGTTCCGGGGTTTCTGGAGGCGTTGACTGTGCCGGACGGCGGTAGATACCAAGTAGCTAGTTTGAGATGCGGCGGCGGGCCCCGGCAGGTCAGCTTGCCGTTCAAGTTGGCGGAAGCGGGGACGGCGAATCTGGGGGGGAGACATGGCTGTGGCGGGTCGGGGCATTGAATGATTGTTAGCGTTGGACGGAGGCGGGATGCGGTCGTCGTAGTAGACGGAGAGAGAGAGGAAGGGCACGTGGTTCGCTGGGATCTGCATCGTCTTATCTTTTTTTTCCTTCGTGACACCTATAGCCGGTCCTCCAGCTGGCCTCCAGCTTGAGAGTGGACTCAAAAAGCTCAAATTGTATCACATTGAGTCTTGACTCAGCGTACATTGGCACTAACACTAATCGGGTTGTTCTATGTTCTACGACTCAACACTGTCTGCTCCTTGTGCACACGGATCACCTCCTGCATCACCTCCTGTCCAAGGAGGGCCCGCCAGTGCCGCCTAAACGGAGTGCGGGGAGTGGCGCCGCCGCGCAACTGCTCCAAGCACTTAGTTGCATGCTGAATTACATCCGGAGGGCCGGCTTGGCCTCCAGGAAAGTACAGGCTGAGAGTGCGATCGAAGTTCCTGCGCCAGAAGTCTTGCACTGTCGTTGTAGGCAGCGGAGTCTGTAGGTTTGTAGGCAATAGTCTCGATATATCATCTGTGATCTTGTCAAAGATGATAATCCGTGCGTTGTCCTGGAAAATGACCATGTTAGGGAATCTTAATTGAATGCATGAAGATAAGTAACCTCAACATCAACACTGATTAGGTTGCGTTGGAGCGGGTCCACAAGAGCCGTGCATACTGTAACAAGATTGTCAACATGTTTATACTGATCGAAATTGACTGGGTTGGTCTAAAGTTCATGTGAGTACTCCGAATGATGATGAAGTGGAAAACAGGACGCCATCGACGAAGTACGAGGACAAAGGCGGATAAATCCAAACAATTTCGGTTGGAAGGTCAGTCCGACCAGTAATACAGCATCGCCGCTGGTCGCGGCTCTGAACGCGTGTTGATAGATCAGCGGGGATATCGTTCTGGTTTCATAGTACTATCAGCCCTGACCAATGAGGAGGAACACGACATAGTACCTGCCCGGGGTACTTGTTGCTAAGCACCGTTTCTTCATCACGGAAAGATTCCGCCTCATATTCAGCGCATCCAAGAGTTTGCAATGAGTATGGTTCTCCATCTGAGTTGTCTGTGAGTGAACCGAACAGCCCTGCAGTGGAGGTATACCCATTGAGAAAATGCCGTATGTTCCAGGCTCAAGCGGGTCACTCGAGTCGCGAGCGATTGGAGGGCCTTCTACGCCTTGGACCATGAAAGGAACAGTCTCGATGGTTTCAAGTGATATCCGCCGCAAGACCACCTTTTCCTTGATGGGTTCTCGACTGACGGGGCTGCTACAGCCCGAGAATTCCAACCAGCGATAGAAAGTAGCTGCAGTCAATGGTATCTGGTTTAGATTGAAACCTGTGAGCCAAAGATTAGGGATGTCCGCAAATTTTCAGAGCTTGAATCATACCTCCAGCCAGTATAGCTTGCGGTTTGTCACGGCGCGGATAGTCAGGCTTGATCATAATCGAAAAGACGTGCATGTTTCGGCCTTGCTGGGCAACTCTCTTGGATACAAGAAACCTGGAATAATACTCAAAGGGAGTTCCAGTATGTTGGGGTGAACCATACGAGCCAGTGGCGTCCATGTCGAATTTAAGTGACATTGTCAAGTCGTGGTCGAGCAATAAGTGGCGTCACAGGCGACGTCACGCTTTCATGAACTCTGAGGTCCCTTTTTATACTCAAAGATGACAGCATTGGGAACATTCGAGAACTACTTGCCAGTGACTCAAACATTGGGCTGACTCTTGAGCTTAGACTCGTGTTGAAATCTGAGCTGAGGCTGTGGCCACGTGTGCCCCAGATTCATGATGACTCTCAGGTTGCTGTGTACTAGTACATGCTGATGCGGCGTTCAATAACGTTCAATTAGCAACAACTAGCCGCCAATTTCAATGGGACTTCAATTGAGTCCACATCGGACGGTCGCATGATGACCCAGAAGTTGACAACTTGAAGACTGTGGCTCAAACTCTGGGGCGAAGACTGCAGTCATTGGTTCAGACTCGGAGTCAGCCATCGCGGCATCTTCAAGTTGCACTGACAAACAGCCTGATCCTGTCCGAGTCACCAAGTGCCGCGTGGTGGAATGGGAATGGCACTGATCAGTGATGTGGCCATAAGCAATATTTGTACCGGTTCTCTGGTCCACATATAAAAGAGGCCTAGGAATCCCTGTCTCTTCCTCACGGCACCCACTACTAGTTGCCCGTTGTCTGTTGATATTACTTGAAGCCTTTGACTTCAGATGGCAGCCTACAGCCCACAAAATTACGTCAATCGCAACGAGAGGAATATTCACATATGGTCAAGCCAAACAGGATATCAGGGCATGCGATATATTGTCGGAGGTTCAATTTCAATATTGTTTAAATTTCAAGTTAAGGCTGACACCAGATTCCGTAGGATGTCACACTTGGCCAAGGCCGCCACTAGCGCTAGCGTTGCACCGCGAGCTACACTCAGCGATCGAGGGACTAGAGCACAACTTGGAATTCTGGTGGCCACTGACAAAGCACGACCTCTACAAATATCTGGAAATCATCACCAGAAAGAATCCCGGCTTCAAATGGGTGCTTTTTGGTCCATACGAATTTAGGGATCCCATTTCTCAGCTTGAACAACTTCTTGGAGATATTCCTGCCTTGGAATTCACCCGACTAGTCCAAGACATTATAACTAATGCAGCGGCCGGTCAGTTCCAGGGTATGACGGACGACATTGAAACCGCGGCAGTGGCAGGGCAATATCTACTGTTGATGCAATCTGAAAGCCACGAGAAGCTTCTTCACCCCGTGAAACCTGAATTGATCTACTCTTCTCTACAGTCAATGAGCAGACTGGCAACGGCTCAAAATGCAAGTGTTGCCAGTGGGGTCACTCTACAGTCTCCGATTCAGAGTCTCTCGCAAACTGTCAGTGGCACTCTCGGCTCAGGCTCAAACACGGTTGGAGACACAACCAAGGCCGGAAGAACCGACCCAGATCCAGACGATGACATTGACATAGACGACGAATCGGGGTCGGATGATGATTACTCGGATGATAGTGACGGCGGTGTTCTCCCTGCCAGTGGCAAGAAGCTTAAGGCTCGCCGAGTGAGGATTAATTCAACTCAATATGGGACATTCCACTAACTCTAAACTTTAGAAAGCTACGCACCGAGTACATTGTCGCCAACGCGACTTTCGATGCCGCATATCTGGATATGCTATCCCAAACAGGCCATGGCCACGTGGTCCAGTTTATGAAGGATTCAACGCGTGCCATATTGTGGCCCATGCGTTGGACGGCAGGGTAAATTTTCACTTCTAGCCATGCTTTTCGTAATCTGAAGAGTCAATAGTTGCAAGACATTGCTAGTCAAAAAGTTATCGATGCACTCTCGACTAACAGAGGCATCGACACTGTTGAGAATGGAATAATGATGCTAAACTTCTTTCACTCTTTGTTCGACGCCAACCACTTCGGTATTGATAAAGCATCAAACGGACTGAAGATATACACATTTGAGCGACGGGCTGCTACAATTGTTGGAGCAGGCCGGTCGATTTTCCCGCCGCTTACGATACCTCAAGACTATCAGCCACAACCATATAAACCTACCACGCGCAAGAAACATTCCGAAGTCAATAAGGTTCTTCTGCGCTTTCAGTTTGAGCTATGTGTTCGGTGGCATGTTTGTGGACTTGGCCGAGTGACCCCGGGTTCTTAGATATCAAGGGATGCTTCAAGGCTTGTAGCCATGTCATATAGGTCCAGTTGTCATAGTTGAATTAGAATTCATACAAGTTCAATTGTTTGTTAGTTCAGTGCCAAGTACCCTTCAAGTCGATCAGTAGGTGGATTGGTCGCGCTGAGAGTGCCGCCCACCTAGTTATCACAGTCGACCATGGCACCAACTGGCGTTCATTCGTACCATTCCCCGCTCCCTGTTCCTCGTCGTCATTCCTATCTCTTGTTCCAAATTCCAAGTTGCCGCAGTCGCGGTTGTCGCAGACAATGTCGTTGTTGGTCAGTGTTTCGTCGTCCTTTTGGCGTGACCAATAAGATTCCAGACCTGAAGTTTCGAGTTGTGTATGTCGCCGAGCTAGCGGTTGTGCGCGAGTGGGGAAATGAGCCGCCGGGAAGTCTAGTTTTGGGTGAGTTGCAAGTGCTGCTCCCCGTTCGCGACGCTGACCTTCCTACAGCGCTTTGCCTCCGCACTCCCCAGAATCTGCGTGCGTTGACCTTGCTCCCTTGCCGCAAATGACAAGTCTGGGGCAAGCTCAGCCCCGGCTCGTTTCCCACTTGCTCGACATCTTCAAAATGGTGAAGCTTAATGTTAGGATAGTGATTTCCGCTGACTTACCTTGTTCCAGGGCCACGCATTCCTTCCTTCCCGCCCATCCTGCATCGTCGCCCTCATCAAATGCCATCCAAAATTCGAGTCCTGTTATTGGCGAGTTGTCGTCAGTCTTGTCGCTGCTGAGATTGACATTGGATCTAGTTTTCTGGTCTCAGTTCGTTGGCTGCTCGGTCTAGGTGAGTTTTACTTTAGGCGACTCGTTTGACCTGCTTACCTGGTTTTAAGCCTGTCATTTCCTTCACGCCAGTCCCACCAGACCCCCCAAACCATTACCAGCACCCTTCAAATCTGCTGCGCCGCCTTGATTACTTTTAGGCACGTCAGCTCGCCGTTGCTCAGACATTTTCCTCGTAAGCAGTTTTGTGGTTGTCGGCGCTTTGCTGACCCAGCTCTTGCTGCAGCGTCGAATTCGGCCCGTTCCGGAGGTTCTGGAGGCGTTGGCCGTGCCGAACGGTAGACACCAGTACCAAGTAGCGAGTTGTGAGATGCGGCGACGAGCCCCGGCAGGTCGACTTGCAGTTCAAGTTGGCGGAAGCGCGGACGGCGGGTCTAGAGAAGGGACACGGGTGCAGCTGGTGGGGGCATTGCCGCTCTCAGGCTGACGGAACCAGATGTGGTGCTGGTTGAAAACGAAGAGAGAGAAAGGGCGGCGGTTGTTTGTCAGCCGGCACGTGGATCGCCGGGACACCGGCCCTGCCAGTGTCGAGCGCAAGCTTGTTTTCGTGCTCGGACAAGGCTGCCGCAGAGTACGTGTGGTCTCTTGATTTACTGACTGACATTACTTATCTCCAGCGGACTATTAGTGTTCCGGCCGGTAAGCTCCGAGTTTTCTTGAATCACCGTCAGTCAGACTCAGTCTTCTTATAATTACCAACGTGCAGCTCGACGGACATGCCCAGGGCTTGGATCCGTGCAGTTAAATCCACAGGTGAGTTTGTGCGTCACTGTGTCATTTGGCGTCCTTACATTGTGCCAGGAATTGACCGCGGCGTGTGTCGGCTGCGTGTGCGCCGCGACACGAGTGTGCGTGAGCCGCGCGAGGACGCGTCCGAAGTTCTTCTATTAGCTACAAACACAGCATACGCGACTCACTCCTCCTCCGACTCATCCTCCATTTCCACACCAGCATTCATCCCCTCGACATTCTGCAGCTCCGGCATATCATACACCACGGTACCTCCGGAGATCTCATCGATTGTTTTATGAGACAGTAACCCTTCAGTTATTGTGGTAGCTCTACCACGGGGGACATAGTATAGTTACCTCGTGAGCTCGGCTATTTGGTAACAGGGAGGGCCAGGGGCGAAGGTGTAGATACTTAGTATGTACACCGGGATAACTTCTGGAAACCGGCGTTCGTCATTCGGACCGTGCCGTGTATCAATCCAATCCAATCCGGCAGCCGCTTACCTTGTTCCAGCGCCCCAAATTCTTTCATTCCCAGTCTTCGTCTGCCATGGCCCAGCGCCTCCGGCTCGCCTCTTGCGAGTAGTCTTCTCGTTTGTCGCCGAGGCCCGACTTGCTGAATCAGCTCCTCAGGCAGTGCACAATTCCGCAGGTTCCGGGGGGTTTTGAAGGCGTTGGCCGTGCCGGAGGGCGGTACATACCAGCACCAAGTAGTTAGTTTCGAGATTTTCGCGGCGGCGGCCCCCGGCAGGTAGATAGGTCGGCTTGCCGTTCACGTCCAAGTTCGCAGAAGCGCGGACGGCGGATCTGGGGGCGAGACACGGCTGTGCGGGTAGCTGTCAGCGTTAGTAGACGGAGAGAGAGAGAGCAGTGGCCGTTTGTCAGCGGGCACGTGGATCGCCGGGACCCCGGTCCAACTCTTCGGCGGAGTTTTCGCGCTCGGCGCTTCAAGTCCGACGCTGTATACAGTGAGTTATGCATCGCTCTCGTCAGTTGGCATGCTTACATTGTGCCAGGCATCGAACGCGGCGTGTGTCGACTGCGAGAGCGCCGCGACGCGTTGACGGGAGGGTGCGTGAGCCGGCGGCACGGGGACGCGGCCTAGGTTCTTCTTCTATCAGCTACAAACGATACCAAATAAACACTTGGGAAAGTGTAATTATGCAACCAATTGGTTCTTTTTCTTCCATTAGCTACAAACGCAGCATGATGTCTACTAGAGTAATATTCACTCCTCCTCCTCCTCTGAATCACTGTTCGTCCATTTCCACACCAGCATTCATCCCCTTCTTCCCCTCAATATTCTGCAGCTCCGGCATATCATACACCACCTCCGGCAGCGCCTCGCCCTTCTTCGCCGTAATAATCCCAAACTCAAACGTGAACCCCGACCCAAGCTGACTCCGCCCAAACAGGCCCACAATCCGCTCGTCGTTCTGCGGCTGCAAAGTGGCCGAGGCCCGGCCATTAAGCTCGCCCCAACTGACGCCGTTGTCGAGCGTCATTCGGATTCCCGCAAGAGACCCCCAGCCATAGTCTACACCGCCGCGGTTGATCTCGACTCGGGCGATGCTCGCGCTGACCGGAATGCCGCTCTTTGAGGAGGCGTGCCCGCCGAACATGTGCCGCCTGCCAGTGCCGTAGCGCGAGACCGGCCCGCAGTTGACTTGTGTCCCGTCCTCGTAGTACTAAGTACACAACCGCGCCATCCATGATCGCCCCGACCCGCAAATCAATCGCTTTCGCACGCGCGATCGACCCATCTGCGCGTTTTCGCTGCAGCAACAAAGCCCAGTGCCAGAACCTCTCTCTTGGGTCCCAGTCCGACTTGACAGACGTTTTCCGGAGGACAACCGAAGTGCCCGGCACGCGGATGAACGGCAGCTCAGCGAGCATCTTCCAAACTTCATCGCAGACCCGCGTCTTGCCGTTGAGTCCCAAGATCGACATCGACAGCGACTCCGTCCGGTCGAACTTTTTCTCGAGGTCGGTGAAAGCGACGGCGAAAGTCTTCCCGCCCTCGCATGTCGCATTTGCGATGGTCTCCTGGACACTAGCGGCGAGACTCGTGTTGGTAAGCACCGGGGACTGGTAAACGAGCAGTGTCTTCTCCGGGGTGGTCACCTGAATCCGCGCGATTCCGGCCCTGCAACTAAGCTACAGAACGGGTTCCGTTCTTCTGAATCCTTTACCAGCTCGCAGGTGATGTCCGCCGCCGCTTGCCGATCTTCGGGACTCAACACGGGGTCGCCGGGAAGGAGGAAGTGCTCCAAGACGCGAAACTTGAGTGCATCCTGGAGATCCCACACCGCATCGTTCGCCGTCTCTTCGTGGGCGATGAAATTGCGGGCCCAATGGCGGGAGTAACCGCGGGCCATGATCCCGCTCGTGTGATCCGCGCTGAACGCATGGCCGACCTCGTGCAAGAACGCGCCTTGGCCAACCCAGCAGGCCTCTCTCATCGTGCCACACTCCCCGTTGTCGTTGCCGACTGTATCTCCCGTGAGGGTTCTGTCGAGCAGATACGCGGGGACTTCCTCCAAGAAGCGCGGCCAGGAATACGTGAGATGGCTCCCAAAAACACCCAACGACACGCCATTCGGCTTATGGCATCCCAAAGCTGCATGACCCAGAATAAGATCCTGCTCGATGGAGTAATGCGCGTCGAGAATGAGGCCAGCGACAACCGGTCGCTCGGCAGAGTTGAACGGCGACCCGTGGCTGCGCAGCGCGTCTTCAAAGTACTTGTGCAAGTCATCTCTGCGCTGGCCATGTTGGTTCTGTTGTGCGACATCTGCATCACGCAGCTGGGCGACGGTCTTCTTGGAGCGGATCACGTGGATTTTTGGGACCGCGCCTGTTAGTTGACGGTCGCTCTGGAAGCCCGCGCGGAATGTTGTGTCGCGCGCCCACTCTTCGTCCAGACGGAACGACCGCCGGCCAAGCCCTTTGAGCCGGAAATCTTCGGCCGTTTGCGCCTGCCACACTTGCTGCCACATATACGCCGCCATCCGGAACTTGGCGACCGCCGCCTCGAGGGTGCTGCAAGGGGGTATCAGAAAAAAAATAACGGAACATACCTTGGACTTTTTGTTTAAGCTCTTCCAGGGGACCCACCGACCGTGACTGTGACGTGACATTACCATATTAGGAAGGTAATTCGCACAGTCATGTGATCTGATAGCATCAAACTCAGTCGGTCCTCTGAATTTCCAAGAACATTAATAGAAACATAGACTCCTAGATATATATATATCTTCTGGACAAAGTCCTGCTATGGTCATTGTCTCACAAATCTCACTCCAGAGTACAGATATCCATCCCCATATGGTCACAATATTCCATCTAATCATGAGATACTGAAAAATAACCACTTGTGAGATTGTTGATACTTAATTATGGATGTGTAGTGCACCAAACAGTACTTGTAACCCATTCTAAGGCAATTTTGACTTACAATT